CCATCAGCTGTTCGAACTTAGCAGAATCGGCACTGCCTATGAAAATTAAACAACGATTTCCCATGGATGAAAGAAGCTGTGATGGATGCTCAATAATCAATTCACAAGCTAACTCAAAGCTGCTATCTGAGATGGCACAGAAACAATTTGCATGCATGTCAATATTAGGGACAGTAAAGGAAAAGAAAAGCTTCTAATTCTGATATAAATTAATTTCAACATTTAAATTAATTGATACCATATGCAAGTTCACAAAAATGAAACTCTTGTGTTCAGTAATCAATCGCTGAATAACGCTGTTTCGCTATAGAAGAAAATCTGAGTATCAATAAAGATAAACAATTAAGAGCAATAGTAAAAGCTTCCTTTTCAGAATAAGACGTTTAAAAAATATACATCGATAACTGTTGACGATTTAACAACATTAGGTATATCCGTATTACAAATAGCAAAATACATATTGGCATAACATAATGTACTATTTTTACACTGTACACTTAAATGATTAGGCTATTTTTGGCGCCCTTCCTTTAATAAAGTTAATCATGGGGCCCGATATAAATTTCGGTGCCTTCAGCCAATGGTTTCTTATTTAAACGAGAAATCAACTGTAGCGATGTGGCAAACGTGTCAAAGAAGTCTGCTTCGAATACCCGAGGTGAGAGGTTCGATTACGCTCAATGGCAAACCCTGTCCTTATCAGGAATTCCCTACGGCAAGGAACATACCACACCTAGCTTCAGACCGGGGTTGTTCGGTCAGTGGAGTGTCGGTCGAACACAATTAAGAGGTCCTGTGTTGAAGTTCCGAGTAGGGGGTTACTCGCCCTTCTTCCTTCTGAGGATGAGTATCAGTCTGTGGGAAGAAAAGACCACACACTACGGCTACCATATGGCTGTAGTTTCTGCCTTGTAGACTCTAACATGATAAACATGTGCATTTTATACATAAGTACAAAGGGCTGTTGCAATGTATTTTCAAATTAGTCGCAAGAGAAGAACGTTTGTTAACAGTAACTATATCAAAGCCATATGACTGAAACCAAAATGTGCATTTTCTTAAATGTAAGCTTCTCAGACATTTTCATATGCATAATTTTCATCATTAGTAACTTCAGCAAGCCTGTAATAATTTATGTTGTGCATGCACTTCAGTACTGTATGCAAAGACCGTTCATTATGTTTCTTAACCGTATTTACATCAACACAATCTCTCTTAAAGGCAATAACACCAAAGTTACAAGATAACCAACATGAAGTGCGGTTTTACTTGAATCTGAACATCTTCTAATTCTCTGCAACTACAATTTTCACCAACGATCATTGCCAAAAGTATAGTTATTGAAGCATAAACTTTTATATACTTATAACAGTACATATTACAGTAACTGAACATACAAATAATATATACTATTACATACATACTAGTATTTAGATATACTTTAAACGGAATACAGTGAAACTAACATTATATGCTGCTCTTGCTCTTTATTTTTAAGAACAACCTCTCTTAACAGCAACGGCATCAAAATCACAGAACAACTAAATAAATATGCGCTTCCTGAAGCAACGTTAGTTTTACAAGTTATCAAATAATGATTGGTTCTACTAATAGTAGAAATACAATCACTACAACTTAAATTTGTCCACACTGATAACAGCGCTATTGCGTACTTTGAATGTACGTATGTAATTTTCTGCAGTTCGTTTTTATCAAATTTGCTGCAGAATCTTTTCTTTTTGTAGTGGCGACATCAAGGTCACGGAATCTCGAAGAACAATATGTCGCGAAATCATTCATTTCTAACATTTATGATTTCCACCATTTAATGTTTTCACACATACTTATTAAAATGCCTGAGTATTAATAACAGAGCAGACGAAAAAACAACACAAAATGTTATACAAGATGCATATTACAAATATCCAGAATCTACAGACGTTTAAAGATAGTTTTTTGCAGTTTATTTCAGAATGACTATGAATGAATGAACAAAATTCAGGAACTTTTAATAGTACATATGGTGTACTTTTAAATGTATAAATCGATGAGATTTGATGGTTACTTTCGATCTGTTCGCTGGACGGGAGGGGGTACTTAAGTAACAACATCACAGTCACTCAATAATTACAAAATAAAGTTGCGACTTTTATTAAACTGGAAGGCACTTTAAAACAACTACTGTATGTAATTTTTCGCCTGTCGCTTCGCTAGATTTACACGGTGTCCCTTTGCTTCCAGAAGTCCAAACGTCCCGAGGTAGTATTCTAAGACTTACAATGCACGGACAAAAATACCACTAGTAACTACATGAGTTTGCTAGCAAACTATTCGCTTTCAGTACCGTAATAAGAAGTAACATTCTACAGAGAACTGATTGACAGTGGTATTATACACCGGTGGTATTGAAAACAAGAACATTGCTATCAAAATTATCATGCCGGGCTCAGTTTTTGCCATCCAGTATTTTTACCATACCATTATTATTAACAAAGTTATTGTAACTTAAATTTCCGCGCACTTTAAAGGTAGTACGAGTTGCATATGCATGTAAATCCTGTACATGGATTTCTGGAATGTTTGTTTCCGACGTACTCACTGCAAGATAACCAATCATCACA